TGAAGTACTCTGTTCCTTTTAAACTGATTCTAAATTTGGGTTTGACAAACATCTCTATCCCCTTGAGATTATAACAACTCTCTTTTAACAAAGTGTAATTGAATGTTTGAAGGTAATGTGKTTTTWTGAGCCCTATACATAACTGATAAAATACCATAGTTAACCAAATCATAGAATTTCAATTTAAAGCTCTTTTATTAAACAACTACGAAAAAATGAAGTAGCTGTTTAAACTAGTTTGAGAGTAAAATTGTACACTACAAAATGTGTTTTGTTTTTGGCATGCCAGTGATCATCAAAAAGCAATTAAAACATTTTGAAAAAGCAAATGATGAAGGCTGTCTATTGGATAGGAAAATATTTGTTTAAAATTATAAAAAATCATTTTTAATCTTACATCAGTCGAATTATTTCAAATTGAATTAAAAACGTTATTGGATTAACGCGTTGCACTCATGTAAATAGTTTTTKAGACCATTTTTATGTGCATTTCAGTTCAATTAACAACATCCAGTTAGCAGCATCTTGTATCTCGGTCYCACCAAATGCTTGAATTACTACACCAGCTACTTTTACTTCTCCCCCGTGTTATTTATTGCTGTGTGCACTCAGCCTGTCTGAGCAGAAAGCCGCTACCTTCGGTTAAATATGAGGAGGTAATAACAGCTGTAAGATGCAACCATACATTTTCTGTGAAGGTCAGAGAACCATAATAATGGGCTATGAGTATGAAAAAGCTACATAAAGCTGCCGACGTTGGTGCCACGTTGTTAACTTGGGTTCAGCACAATTGATTATTCCTTCACAAGCCGAAAAATACGATCTAGTGCACGGGCTCAAACCCATGATGTAGTTCCAGACTGTTTCTTTCATTGGTTATGTCACATTCACCTCCCTTGGCTGGAAGGCTGGAAGCCGCTGGCCAGTGTAAAGAACATAGGTGAGTAAAATGTTGTTGTTTGGGGCTCATTTATTATCCAATAGGAACCCAGATTTGTTCTCTCATATCGGATATTCAGTGTGATTCTTTGGCACGGAGGTGAAATATGAAGAAACAGGCAGCAGCGGGAAGTAGAAGCATCTCCAGGGCAGAATCAAACAGCTGCCTCCTTCTATCAGTTTCCATGTGCTGTGGGTATGTGCTCCAATCACACCAGTTGGCTGTGTTTTTTTCTTGTGCTGGTGTGTGTTCAGTACCTGTTTGCCACGGGCTTTGGCTGATAACTTCAGCTGACAGATGGTTGTAAGTTTATTTACTCTTGGGTAGCTTCAGATACTTTCAGCTTTTCTGAAGCAGGTTTCAGTTTGATTTTCTTTTCATTTTATCTAATTTTATGCAGTCTTATCTTTATAGTAGTGTTTGTACATATGGTGTATATGTTAAATTTGAAAATGAAAATGTAAACGTCTGTTAAAGCGTATAAAACCTGAAGACAGCCACATGAAACCTTTTTTTTTTAGTCGTCGTTTTTGAAAGCCAGCTGTGGGAAGAGTAGCTAAACTCTTGCCCTCAGAAATCAGTTACTCTCTGGTAAAATAGCTGCCGGTAATTTACCTTATTTTTTCTAGCATAGGCTTCCTGATTGGGTTTTTTTTTTTACACACCATTTGCACCACTGTTATGTGTGAAATTGCTATAACTGAAAGATGTTTTTTGTTCCATTTCTTTATTTTATTAATTCAGTTTTTTAAAGAATTTTCCCCAAACCACCATTCTTCTTTTTGTGCTCTTATTTTTAAGCAAATTAGCCAATTCTGAATAAATTAGCAGCAGAAATCGTTACCACGTTATGATTATTTATTTCCTATTTGATTTGTTTAAATCAGTGAATGTGGGGATTAATCTAATCCTCTGCCAAAACATCATACATTAACATTTTTGTCCCTGAYGGCTTTAGAAGGTCTGCAATCTTATTATACTTGTCTATTTTTCATCATTTGTTTGTATTGCTTTTCATAAGAAGCAGGTTTGTAAAACAAAGTCAAAGCTTATTATTATAATGTGTTTTTGTAAATAAAAAGTCAATTTTTGCTGGTTGTACTTAATTGGATGCATTATTATTTATTATATATTAATCAACAGAAAAATGTATACATTTAATCTTTGTTTATCTATGCTCCTTGTTTCTCTGTGTTTAAAAGTGTTGTTCATAACTTGTACGTTACATTAAGGTTACTCCACTGACTTTTGTAACTACCATATTTATTCAAGTATAATACGTAAAATTAAATCCATAAAGTTGGGGGGTAGTACTATACCCGGATAAATATTTTTACTTATGTATTTTAACTGAAATATCAGCTTCATTCACAAAATGCCTGAGTCCGGAAATGAGACCGCGTCATAAAAAGCAGTTGAAGCGAGCTTATCTCTGACACTCCGTTCTTCAGAGCGAGATAATAACAGATCCAGGCAGGAGACATGATGTGAAAAAAGGCAGTCCTGCTCCTTAGTAATGATAACGAACTAATGACATTAGCGTGTGACCGGGCCGCTCCTCGAACAACAACAAACATATCCGTCTGTAATGGCTGCCGTCTACCGGTGTTCTGAAAAAGTTTGTATCTCGAAAAAATGTTTCCCCACCAGAGGGGGCGCTCGTGAGTAGGAAGTAATCTGCTTTTCCCCCAGAAGATGGTCCAAATTTCATGTGAAGTCTCTGACTTTTGTGTTAGCGCATCCTGGTGGACTATGTGTAAAATGCCAGAATTCAWATGATGCTGCTACAGCTGATATATATTTGTTGTCAAAATACCTTTTAGGACATATGTTGTTAAAATAAAATGAACAGTCCAATGATCATTTTACTGATATGTATAAAGACTGCAAAGGCTGAAAAATCTTGAAGTCTGTATTGGAGGTAGTTTGAGGATAAAAAATTTTATGCTTTTTAAGTTCAAAAAAGGGGGTGTCGTATTATACATGAGATCGTAWTATACACAAATAAATAYGGTATTCAAGTTTTTTTTGTGTATAATGTCCATGAGTCCTGGCAGCTTTTATCCACCTCTGTCTTCTTTGTGTGTTGCAGGAGATCAGAAATATGCACAACGAGCAGCTGATGGGCATCAGACGAGAGGAAGAGATGGAGATGTCAGATGACGATATGGAGGACGCCCCTGACAGCAAAGACTCTGAGGACTCAGGTATGCATATGCATGCACGTATCCACAGTTCAACTCTTTTGTCATCTCTGACAGGACGTGCACCAGCCGAGCTCTCCAGAGGGTGAACGCATTGATTGTTAAATACCTGAGGGAGGTGGCTGCGTTTGAATAAAATGACATTGATCATCGCCCCCCACCAAACATCTGACAGCCGTCTTACAACTCTGCATGAGTGAAAGAACGCGTTCAAAGTTCGTCAAAAATGCTGACAGCATTCACGCTTTATTGAGTTTATGTTGAACTTGACTGCTGAATGCCTTTTAGCTCGGTTTGCTCCAGTGAAAAGACGCAGTGTGATTGCGTGTGCATCGCTCCGCACCTGCCAGCTGCCATTTCACAACGCAGCCCAAAATAAGTGCGATAGGCGTGTGTGTCTGTTCCCTCCAAGGAGTTTCTTTGTGTTTGCTGAAACAACAAAAACTAATGGTGTTGCTTGTTTCTCATACTGTGTCAAACTGAGCGTTATGGTAGTTGTAATTAACTCAGACGTTTCATGTTTTACTTCAGCCAAACAGGAAACGTCTCGATCCTCGTCTCATTGCTACGGCTGAGCACTGCTAACGAGCAATAATGGAGCTCTACCTGGTGTTTCCTGCATAGAAACAGCGTTTTAACACATATCCTCGTAAAAACACTGAACAGTACAGAAGGTGTATGACTGACTAAATGTGAAATAAATAATACTTGAGTTGTGGTGAGTAGCTGCCGTCTTGAATTCTGAACTCTCCTACTTTCCAACCGGGAGTTCCCATGCATCAACATGTATTATGGGAGATGTAGTTTGTGGTTAATGCTAGTTTCAAAGCAGCTTATTTTGAGATATGTTTAACTGAATTACTCAGGGGGGGCATAGTTATTCAAAGCCAACAGCTCAGGGGCAAGACAAGTATTATTATTTTTCACTTTTTTGAAAGAAAATTGTTCTCAGTGTTCGTTTACCTTTTTACGTGTTTGATCCAGATAGAAAATACACCAATATATGARTGTTGAATGTGAAAAGAGTTCATACAACCACAATAGAGCGCTCGTCTGAAGGCAGTTTATTCTCAGTGTTGCGTTCAGGGCCTTTTTCCAGGAAGTCACATCATTATAACAGCAGCTTCAGGACCCGACTCCGCCTAATTTATTGTAAGTGGCCAACCTATGGCTGAAAGTCAGGTTTTCATACAATTTTCCTGTTCTAATGAGAAACGATTCAATTATGTGAAGGTTTGTTCAGATGTGTATCTTATCTATCAGTACCTTCTGCCCCGTGTAACCATATAATTTATAGCTACCCAGACCAGTCTGTACACAGTTTAATCACAAGACCAGTCACAAAACAGTTCATAAAAATACATCATTATTTACCTAAGAAAAAACTATAAAATGTGTTGTGCCTTTAAAAGTCAGTAGTAAACAACCCCAACAAATTTCTCCAATTTAAATTTGTTTATTTTGTTGCATAAATTRATATGAAATGTATTTTATATTAAATTAATATAATTTTTACATGTGTTTATAGTATTAGTATGTTGTGGGGGSTTGGTGGGCCAGACGGAAGTCACCYATGGGCCRTTAATGGCCYGCGGACCTTGAGTTTGACACATGCGCTCTACAACARGTTTGCAGTAGTCASCTGGGCAGCATGCAGAARCCRCTMMCCACCTCACGTCCGCCCTCCTGAGATCTGTGTTCTGCTGTCCTCTCAGACTCGTCTCTGTTTCCCTTTTATTCAGCGTGATCTCTGCCGATTGCTAATATGACAGCTTCTCTAATTAGCATGCAAAAATATGTAAACGCTGCAGTCATCTCATTTACAACCTTGCTATTTAGCTATTAGTGATTAGTACTGCTGTCAGAGACCTGTCATTCTGCTCGATACTTTCAGGATTGGCCAGAAGTGATGGGTGTTAATGTGGCAGCGTCTTGGTTTTTGTGTCCACAGGCTGTATGGTGCACTCTTATCTCACTAACCTTTAAGAAAAGGGCTTATGTTTGCATGTCGACCAGGCCTGCTTAAAAACACCTGTGCTATGAAYGCAACCTCTTAAAGAAGTGAATGGAAGCCTGGAAACCTGTACAGAAAGATGAAGCATGACTTTATGCCTAAAGGTGTGTGCGTACAGTCGGTTTCATAGCTAACTGTAGGTCGATAGCTCTGCCGCTTATGTAACAGAATTCAGCCAAGCAGTTGACATCTCTTCACACCAAGCTGATGAGACTCTCAGATCAATATCCTTCTTACCTCAAACCTTCATTTCGCTTGGAAAGAGGCACACATACGCTCGATCTGGACACACACACTCACCCAGCAAGAGTTCATTAGCGCTGCCAATGGTCCTTCATGATAGACTGCAGGCAGCCCTCATGGACACCTACACACACCCTAATAAGACACTCTTTTTCACACACACACAATAGACACACACGGGGATTTGGATTATCTGCTCTTCAGCCACTTTTTTTTCATTTAAAGGCTTCTCCTCAAGTCTTGTACATGTGGAGCGAGACAGCACAACTGGACATCTCTAATGCTGAGARGGTCTCATAATAATCAAACCTCCCTCTGCAGAGCGTTGCTGCTCARTAGGTCAGGTCAAACGTCCAGCAGAGCGCTTTTGGACAGAACATTCTGGGATTATTACTGCTTTCAGGCATTGTGAAAATGCTCCAGATTTTTAATAAATAGGACACGGAGTGAATAAGGAAACAATGCAGCTCTAATTTTACAGCTTTACCATTTAGTTGTTTTTCTTTATGCTAGATTGCTGTTAACAAATAAAACATAAGGGTTTCTTGGATAATCAAACCAAGATTTGGATTTGTGTATTTTTTTTTCTTTTTTGTTCATTTCCCCCATATAGGTATAACATTTTTTTGTCTTTATGAAAAGCTATCTGTGTTTTCAAACCACTACTGAAGCATGTCAGAGGTTTTCAGAATGCTTTATTGTTAATTGTATTTATTTAAAAGAATGAGTACTTTATTATTATGTGAACATTATGTGAACTTGCTAAATATAGCCATACAGGCTAATTATTGTTATGAAGGTTGGTGGTAAAATACAGTAAAAAATAAACAACAAAAATATACCAAAATTCATAAATAGATTAAATCATTTCATGCTAGATTTGACATCTTTCACCGCACACAGAAACAAAATTATTTAAGCTGTTGGTAGTTTTATTTATTTATTTATTTTTACATTTGTTCAACTTGTTCATCAGTTTTTTCTATTGTCAATTCAGTTGGGGACATTTTTATTCCATTCTCAGTCAAAGCGGCACTCCAGCTGTGACTAACGTCAAAAGAGAGAAGTTTTCAGACCTGAGTGTCACCGGATCTCTAAATAAGATCTTTTCCTGGCACACTCTGTGCTTGGGGAACAAGCAGGGATATTTTTTTTATTAGCAGACATGTATCAAATGGATTGTGTCACTCTAGGTTTCAGAACGTACAGTAGTAAAATATTGTCTCACTTTCTGTGAACTCTCCAACCCAAGAGAATAAATACCCTCTCCGTGAGCATCACCGTCTTTTATGTTACATTTCTTTAAATAAGAACGACAACGAAGCGATGATGGTAAAATTCCTGTGGAAAATTCAGCATTTAGAGGCCGTTTGTTGAGACGACATCTCAACTGAGCGGTGTTCCCTAATAACCAAGGTATTTTATATAATTCTGTGTCGGTTGTAGGTGTTTCCCAAGCAGAAGCCTTAAAGGAGGAGAACGATTCCCTGCGCTGTCAGCTGGACGCCTATAGGAATGAGGTGGAGCTCCTCAAACAAGAACAAGGGAAGAACCAACCAATCAGAAGTGAAGAGGACAGCACTCACTCTCAGCAGCTCAGCTTCCTGCAGCAGGCTCTGCAAGGCATGCAAAAGGTAATCTTACATATGTGCATGCAAATATAGACACTTACAGCCACAACGTTTCTGTTGTTTGTCCCACAAAGAGTTAAATTGGCTGCTTTTTTTTTCCTGTTCAGTGCCTGGTCACAAGGCTGCTTTAGAATTTTTATTTTTATAAGTTGAGATCTTCACTGATTCATGATCCTGAATGTTATCTGAGAATGAGTTGAAAAGTGCAGCTATGAAGAACAGCTAAAAATATATTTTTTTACTCTGCTTATAGCTTGATAGCTGTTGTCGTAGGTTTTGGTTGTGTTTTTAAAAGCACACAGAAACGTATTATGTGTGTATGTGTGTGTGTTTTTTTTTATTATTATTATTTTGTGGGGGGGGGGGGGTGCAAGGCCAGTTAAAAAAAGTAGATTATTCATTCAGACACATAATGAAAAATATTGAATTTATTATTTCTTTAAAAATGTACCTTGAATCTCCATGATGTTTTTTCCCCAAGTGCTGTTGAAGAGCTTCATAAGTTTTTCATTTCAAAATAAACCCATCTAACTGGTTTACAAAACCTTTTCAAATCCATAAAGTACAAAAATAGGAGTGATTTTTTTTTCTGTTTCTGTCACTTATTTGTCCAGTCAAATAATCGTCAACAAGGTTGGTCAGGTAAGAAAAAAATAAATAATAAAACTAAGTACATTCAGAAAATTACCTGTAAAGTAAAGCATATAGCCTGCTGATTTTTGTACCACAGTTTCATATTAAAACCATCTTATATGGAGAAATAACAGCTATTTTAGTCGAGCCTTGAAAATGTTCTGCACAATCCCAGCAACTCCCTTAACCACTCTGCCACAGCTGCTGTTTATGTGTGGGCTAATGTTGATTAGCTGTGGCAGCCATCTTTAACTGAGTTGACTTCAAAATCTAATCAGTTGTAGATGATCAGACAATAATTAATTTCATCCAGTGGTTCATGTTGTTTAGTTCATGATTTAACTACCTGAGCCGAGATATGTTGCTAACTGTACAGACAAAAGAAAACTCCACCTTAAACATCACCTTAATGAAGGACATTGAAAATATAGCTTCACAAAAAAAAACTTCCTCTCTGCCAACAAGTAAATCTGAACCTGATGATGATGAGTAGGAGGATTAAAAAACCCTTTCAGATTGTTGTCATTTATCTTTAGGTTACAGTAAATTCAATCAAAGAGCATTTCTAAAGGAGCGATATTTGTTTGTCAGAAACGATCCTGTTTGCGTCTGAGATAGCGGAGGAACACAAAATTGACTCGTGCATTCGTCAGGTGTCCCCTCTCAGCTTCCTGTCTCTGATAATGGAAATTATGATCGACTCGTGTTCAGAAGAAAAGAATCCATTAAGGCCGCGGTGTTCATTTCTTCCTGCAGAGAGTAATTACTGTTCCAACTTCTTGTGGTATGTTTATGAAAAGATTAGGTGAATGGAGCTGAAATTGGATCCCTCGACCCGTCAGGGTCCACATGTGGCGTCACCGCAGTCACTTAAACTTGCAATAAAACATTATCAGCAGGAACTGATGGCGTGTTACCGCTCTCATCAGTCACCATGTATCTGTTTCTACCTGTGAAAAAAGATACTATCATTAAAGGAGGTGGATCATTTGTTCACTGTAGATAATTCTGTGTAATTTCTACAAACAAACAAATTGGARTAAATGCTTCAGTAGGTTAAGCAAGGTTAATTAGATGATTAAATAAAGTAGTAATTTCCTCTGTGAGAAGTGTGTATTAAATATAAAAATTGCATCCTTTTACTTTATATCTTATTTCTGTGTTTTCAGTCATCCTTTTTAAAACATTTTTTTCAAGTTTTACCTACTTATGTACCTTTTTTTAGCCTTCAGGACTGTTGGTGCTGTTCATGGTTGGTTAGTTCACAGTAACATTAGTGGCTTCATGCTTTTTTTTTCTTTTTGTTTATACAGCAACTGTTAAAGATGAGGGAAGAGCTGAAACAGCGGGAGGCTGAGCTGGAAAAGAGCTTGGAGGACAAACAGCAGCTGAAGTCACAAGTCCAGAATCTGAAGGAAGGTTTCCAGAAACTGCAAAACACGCACACAATGCAGGTAAGAGACAGAAAGCAAACTCTCCAGATTTAATGACGCAGCCTTTCACAAAAAGCAGTTAATCACATGATAAATTAAAATGAAGTTAATCCTGCTTGTTTGTTTTCTTCATGTCTTCCTCATAGTCCAATTTTGTAAACTTTGTAAGCAGCATGAGGATGACTGCAATTGTTTTATGAAACCAGACCATTAGTTAAAAATGGTCTCCAATTATATTATAATATTGTTTATTGCAATAATTTCTGACAAGTTTGTTACAGTGACAGGCCTATTTATGCCACAATGTTCACTATCTGCTTCCCCTATCCACCCATTGTAGTTAATGTTGAGGATTTGACTTGTCTGTGGTCATAATGTTATGGCTGAGCCATATATTTTGCAGCCTGCCTGGTTGCCAGTAAAAAAAAAAAAAAAGTGCTCGCAGCAAATCAAAGCAGGAAATACAGAACCACACTAAAATCTAGAAGAAAGAAAATAAAGCTGGGAATGTACTGAGCTTTGATGAATGCAGACGAATTTTACGAGATTTTATGCGACATCGACCTCCAGGAACTCGAGCGCGCACTCCTTTCCTGAGCATTTTATCCTTCTTGAATACATCCGCACTGCCACACCACAAACCAATAAATTTAACTGTCCGAGAGGCACTGAATCATCCTTATGATGGGAGATACAACCTGCTGAGGACTTTCTACTAAGAAAAACTGCCAGTGCTRTCTGAAAGCTGCTACAAAGCTCCAAATCATCAGTTAGAGCCACCCCTGCCCTGTTTTGTATGCAGTGAGTCATGGCGATGTGTCTTTTCCCTGACAAAACCACATCTAACGCTAATTAATGCCCAGCTSTTTGACTAGTCATGCCCTTTCTTGACGCACAATCTTACAAACTATTTGAAATGTCAAAGGTCACTTTTCCCCGGCCGCCGCATCGTGTTTACTAATGCTTCAGGTGTTGTMCCATTTTCCCAGTGCTCAGGTGTTTATTTGTTAATGTCCCCTCCGGCTGTGTTTAATGAGAGGAATGGCTGTCGTTAGACTGCGCCGCAGTTAAATCGCCTCTTAAATTGCTAATAATACAAACTAAAGGCGCTGGTTTCACACGGGGATTTTCTCTGCGTGTGTCTGTTTGCTCTGTGATCACCGAGGGCTTCGTACAACACACAGCTGAATCAGTAATGTGTCGACACATCCCTTCTTCAGAGGGACACTCGTCAATAGCTTGTTAATGGCGATGAGTTTGATAAGAAACGTGTCCCCACCACCGCGAGCTACGGGGGTAAATRTGCTAATTAAAACTGCTGCATGCARGCAAACATGAATCACGAAGGAGAGTCTCATTAAGAAGAGAAATCAATTTTAGGGTTTGGGTTTCTCTGAAGATTAGCGGACTTTAAAGGATGATTTGTCACTTTGAGGACTTTACTTCGTGGATTAGGTTCTCCTTCATTGGTCCCCAAGCTGTCACCACAGATAACTCCTCCCGCTCAAGTGCAGGTCATCCAAGAGATTATCCTTGTGGTTATTACGACCAAAACAAACCTTTTCATCATTTTGTGCTGTATATTGCTCCTGTCAACAACAGGCATTTTTATGTTTGATTGAAGTGTATTTTTTTTATAATCCAAAGAATTGGAAGTTTTATTGAAACCCTAAGAATTTAAATTATTTTGGCTCAATAAATCTGCTAAAAAAAATTATGGTTTTGTTCTTTTTTTTTTTTTTCCGAATTTTAGTCCCAAATCTAATCAAAGCAAAAATGAGAGATTCTGCACTTTTCTTCTGTAATGAAACTCAGTCGTGTACAGAGAGATGTTGCAACTATAAACACTGGTTTGTTGTGATCAAACGGTTGAATCCAACTGAAACTGGTTAAATAGAAAATAACTKTGCTGTAGAAAGTGTAACTAAAAAGAGTAGTATTGACTTGCAAATACTTTAAAGGTTTATTGTTCAGTTTGATTAAAGAAAATAAAATTAGTAGTTTTTTTTACACCTGAGGTTAATTTTTAAATCATAAAAGATGCATTATAC